TTTATCAGTAAAAACATTTCTAATTAGCTTACAGACACTTTAAAATATTGGAATTCACAACCATATTTTTTAAACACCGACCATTTATTAGAAATCCTTATGAGGTCAATAAACGGGTCGATATCTCTATAATTAATAACAAAATGTATATGTTTATCAGACTTATGTTGATATGACTTTTTAACTAAAATTATTTATCATCACACGAGTCATTAAGTTTCTCTGAATCAAAACGTGATAGCAAAATAGCTTGGTTATAATTAATAGTATAGTGAAAATATACTGAAGCAATAATTTTGTAAACAATTACTGAACAAGTGTCAGAATTAACAAAACTGTTTTGTTATAAATACAAAACTATTTTAACAAAACCGAGTTTGTCTACAAGTAACCATAGTTATGTACTTACTATTTCTATGTTATAGGTAACAAAAATATCATCATCATCATTATCATCAGCCTATTAATGTCCCCACTACTGGAGCACAGGCCTTCCCTATGGATGGAATAGGGAGGTTGGGCCATGACCCACCACGCGGGCCCAGTGCGGATTGTTGGGTGTTAACGACTGTAGATGCAGTCGGGACCAACGGCTTAACGTGCCTTCCGAAGCACGGAGGAGCTCGAGATAGTAAATTTTTGGTCACCCATCCAATGACCGACCACTGCGAAAGTTGCTTAACTTCAACGATCGCAGCCGAACGCGCTAACCACTTCCTCCATCGAGCTCCTCAACAAAAATATAATTATAAGTAACTCCAAAGTTTTTTCAGTGTGATAAGCGTGGATTTTTTCTTGAAAAAATTTCTTTAAAAATACTGATTTTTGCGTGTTAAGTTTAATTCTGGCCGATTGAAATAAGTACTGGTTTTTAAAATTGTTCATCAATAGTGAATATTAATTATGGTGCTAGGGGCACCTCTTGCATTCTACCAGGTAGGCCATTCATTATGTTTTGGATGCTTCATTAAGGTATGCTATGCCACTATCTGAGGAGCTCGATGGAGCAAGTGGTTAGCGCGTTCGGCTGCGATCGTTGAAGTTAAGCAACTTTCGCAGTGGTCGGTCATTGGATGGGTGACCAAAACTTTTACTAATACGAGCTCCTCCGCGCTTCGGAAGGCACGTTAAGCCGTTGGTCCCGGCTGCATCTGCAGTCGTTAGCACCCACCAATCCGCACTGAGCCCGCGTGGGGTCATGGCCCAATGTGTAATCAGGCCACAACACTTCTGGTGACATGCGCCCTTACTAAGTCGCGTATTACAACAATTTTGCTCCAATAAATCAAACGATAGAATTGACTCAAAAATTATCTGCTTATAACGATTTTATTTCCCTTAACAGTCCTATAAAAAAAGGCCGCGGCATAATTATATATAAATTGTGGGTTACCTACAATACGAAGAGATTGCGCTGCCTTGCAGCTTAAGAAAGGCTAGAGAGAATTCGACACGATCCATCACATCAGGGCCGCGGTAGCATAATGGTCAGTGCATTCGCCCGGATAGCGAAGGGTGTGGGTTCGCGTCCCGTCTGCTGCCTGGTCCGCGTGAGATTTCTTCTAGTAATATTTTCTTTACATTTATATATCGAGGAGCTGGTTGGTTAGCGCGTCCGGCTGCGATCGTTATAGTTAGGCAACCTTCGCAGTGGTCGGTCATTGGATGGGTGACCAAAAAATTTCTATCTCGAGTTCCTCCGTGCCTCGGAAAGCACGTTAGCGCCTGCCAATCTGCACTGGACCCGCGTGGTGGGTCATGGCCCAATCTCCCATAGGGAAGGCCTGTGCCCCAGCAGTGGGGACATTAAGAGGATGATGATGATTTATATATATCTATCTTTTAACGGTGACCCATTGCGGGTAAAACCGCAGGACACCTCTAGTTTATAATATTAGTAGAATAATTATGTGAATATAAACTGTTTTGTAAAAGTCGACTGATAAACTTTGACCTTATTGCTTGTTGTGACTAACTCACACGTCACAGATGTAATTGTAAACAAATCGTATGGTACCAACGATATTAAATATCCTAGATACACCACGTGCGCTCAAAATGTGTCCCAAACAAGAAGTGCTTGAACACCACTCAAGCACTTCTTGGTTCACAGTCACGCGTGGATCGTTGAAAAGTCAACATGCCGTAGAGCTCCATAAAAAAATGGGAAATAATTTTTTTTTCGACAGGTATTAAATCAATGTATGTTAATTTAACGCATTTGAAGCAAATTTTGTTCTAATACTTACTATAAACTGATTTTATAGAAAAAAATTGTAATATTCAAATGCATGGTCGGTAATATAGCCATCTCTTTACCTTGCGGTCCATTCCTGCTAAACTGTTACCGATAGTAACAGCGCATTAAGAATTGGGCGTAGAGTCAAAGAAATAAGGTCTATATTCTTCCGCGTATAGCAATAAATCGTAAAATTTTACGAGCTTGCATTTCGAACTGTCATAACTCTTTGACGCATGCGTTTAATTAAGACCTTATATAGTATGCATTAAAGCTGACTTTTATTGTTTAAATAATGTCTTATATTGTTTTGGACTACGATCATGTTACGGAGCGGAGAATATCCAATGTACCTTTTGGACAGGTTTCGGCCACGATTGTGTACGTGATGTTGTATCTAGTGTATTTAATATCGTTGTATGGTACAGATCGATCTGTCAAAATTGTTCGGTTTATTTTGCCTTATAATCTATACGATCTATAGTCTGTGATATTTTGATGTGTGCCTGTTTGTACTATCGGAAAAATTTATTCCTGACCCATTTGCCCGTTAATTCGCTTAAAAATATCAAAAATATTCTTCAATGATTACACCGAGATATTTAATTTGATATAAACTATCGACAACTGGACACTGGATCTGGCAATTGGTATGGTCTTCACAAATATGAACATACAATTTTCTGCTTATTGGAGCAGTCATGGCTTTGCGCATACTAAATCTGATATATTTTGTTTTGTCGGAGTTAAGTGTAAGTAGATGCTGCTGCAGCCACCTGTTTACAATGTTGAAGCCGTTTTGTGCACATTTGTGAACTTCTACCTCAGAACTTGCAGAAAATAGTATGACAGTATCGTCTGCATAAGAAATTATTCTGCCACTTTCCAGTTTCAGATTACATAGGTCATTTATGTACACCAAAAATAGAGTAGGGCCTAAAATACTTCCCTGGGGTACCCCGTAACAGGTGTTGTCCAGATCTGAACTAATAATATTATCCTTTTTTTACACACTCTAGCTGTATATAAATACAAAATAGTAATACAGACAAGTTTTCTTATAAAGAGAAAGCGTAATTGCACCTAAGATCTGCTGATAACAAGCAAAGTGTATTAATGTGACAGATGACAGATCTACGAAATATTTCCTTTGTTTTTAAGACAGTGAAGTAGGTCATCCTTAAGATAAAATTCGATTGAAGTTTGAATAAAATGAACATAACACAAAGTCTTTCGATTAATTGACTTAAAGAGGAAACTCTAAATCTATGGTTCCAATGAAGTAGGTAACATTATTTTTGATGTGTAACATCTTTCCTCTCGCTTTCCTGCAATTTGTGGGAGTGATTTCATGAAATGGGACGGAAGTGTGTAACAGGAAGTCGCGAAAGCGCGCGCTATTTGATTTGATTTTAGAACATATTGTTCAAATGGCTTTTTCTTTTTGTAGTAGGTTTTATTTCTTTTTTTACTAATATAAGGTGAAGTTTCAAATGTTACACATCATACGCGACTACTGTAAAGCTCGTTCGTTTTTTATTATTAAGCATGTAAATATTACTAGAAAAAAATCCACGCGGACCAGGCAGCAGACGGGACTCGAATCCGCACCCTTCGCTATCCGGGCGAATGCACTGACCATTATGCTTCCGCAGCCCTGACGGCCGTGTCGAATTCTTTCTAGCCTTTCTTAAGCCGCAAGGCAGCCCCATCTCTTTGCATTGTAGGTAACCCACAATGTCAAATGAATACTATAAGTATTAAACATTTGAAAGAAGAAATAGCAATTATATCAACATTAACGTCACAGGAAGGCGGCAAAATCTGTCATTTCAATAGGGATGATGACTAATTTCTTTTTCTTCGTTTATCAAAAGGTATTGGACACGTATTTTTTCTTTTTTCACATAATATAAACAGTGCAGAGATATATTGATTTGAAAAGTCGCAGTCACGTTTTGGTACAATTTTCACTTAAAAGTGACGTCACGAGCCCCTACTCCCAAACTTTGTCATTTTTTGGTTGATTGCCCAAAGAAAAAATACGTATCCATTATTTTTTGATCATCTAACTGACGGACTAAATAGAATTTCGTTTACTGTACCACGTCATCACCCCTATTATGATTGTTTTGAAAACAACTAATTTGTTTTCAGGGATACATACATTTAAGCGATAATGGTTGTAGGAAAATAAGTTTGAGGTGTGTCAGGAATCCAATTGGCGGATAGTACTATTTTGTCATTATCATCATCATCATCAGCCTATTAATGTCGCCACTGCTGGGGTACAGGCCGTCCCTATGGATGGAATAGGGAGATCGGGCCATGACCCACCTCGCGGGCTCAGCGCGGATTGATAGGTACTAACCACTGCAGATGCAGCCGGGACTAACAGCCGTTAACGTGCCTTCCGAAGCACGGATTAGCACGAGATAGTATATTTTTGGTCTCCCATCCAATGACCGACCACTGCGAAAGTTGCTTATCTTCAACGATCGCAGCCGAACGCGCTAACCACTTGCGCCATCGAGCTCATCAATCCTTTGGCTCAAAGGAGTAAGCGTATAGATATAGACATAGACAGCCATAGATAGACATAGATAGATATAGACAGCCAGAAAACACATTAGGTAGTTATGATTTATAACTACACAATAATCTTAAAACATCAGTTGACTATTCGAAAGAGTTTCCTACCAATTCGACATGCAGATCAAGAAAATCATTTTCACTGCAACTTTTTACAAGCATAACTTACCATTGGCTAAAGCCGCGCATAACAGCACAACTATCCACAATTTGGCCATTGTCCTCGTTACAATCACTAAAAAAACATTAGGTACTTATCTTCTAAAAAGAAATAAGATTAAAAAAATATATCACAGATTAGGTTGATTCGAAACGAAAATCACGTGCGGCTCAAACGACGCGCCGATTGCAACTAAAACATAATAAAGTTATAAATATAATGCCTAGCTTGTATTACTCATAGACACAATAATAATGGAGAGAATAAGGTGCATTTTACCGTAGCAAAAGTAACTCGTAAATAAACTGATAAGGGATTTATCGAAGATTAAAAGGTCTTTGTGTGTCGTTTGTTAATTCCCACAATCAGGTACAAATTATGTTAGTATTTGTACTTTTTATTATAAGAACTATTGATATACAAGGAACAATTTTCTGCCATTTTAGACATAACCTGGGTGTTTTTCCCCACGACAACGGCTAACTAGAGCCGAGGTTCGAGTCTCAGAGACGCCCTCTAGTTGAGTCGACCCCCTCAGGTTCGAGTGGTCTAGAGGCTCCAGACGGAGAGGAGACTCCCCCCGTGGGGAGATGCCATCCGCCTGGAATACCTCTAGAGGCACTCGCCAATTCTCGGCTTGAGGTCTCGCCGTCCCCAGACCCGCTGACGCTGTGAAGGTCATCTGCGACCAAGAGCACACACACTCAAAAAAATTTTTAGACATTACCTAGTTTATTACATGGCAAAATATTGTCTGTAGAAGCAGCCAGAATTTAGATATTTGACATTTATGTTTTTATTTTTTTTAAGCATTTAACTGCTAGATGTTTAAATCTATGTATGTATCTATATATTTGACATTTGTCAGAAATCCGAATAAATGAGATCATTAGAGAGATTGCATCTTACAGAATACTTATGCTGGTCTACAATCTCTTTACGCGAACAACAATAAAAAAATTAAGAATTGAGAACCTCCTCTTTGTGAATTCGATTCAAAATATTTTTTAAATTTAATAGTTCTCGGATTCCTCCACTTTCGCTTCAATTGATAGGCTCCAACCGTCGTCCCAGGACGGCTGCGCAACTGTACTCTGCCCCACCGAAAATACATTTTACTTGAGGCCAGTAGAGTGTTATGCAGTACATAAAATTATTGAGTCCCTTAAGAACAAAAGTAGTCATGGTATTGATGAAAGTCTACCAAAATTAATAAAGGAATGTGTGGAGGAACTAACTTTTCCATTCACTTGTTTAATAAACCAATCGTTTCCATCTACTCTGAAAAAAACAATAGTTAAACCTTGCTTTAAGAAAAATGAAAAATCCGATCCAAACAACTATCGTCCTATAGCCCTTCTACCTACAGCTTTTAAAATATTTGAAAAAGCAATCTGTAATCGCGTTGTCAAGTTTTGTGAAAAATACAAAATATTTGATGACAGTCAAAACGGCTTTCGAAAGAACCGATCCACAACTCTAGCTGTATATAAATACAATCATGAAATAGTTAAAAAAATAGGTAAAATAAATGAAATAGTTAAAAAAATAGATAAAAAACAGTATGGAGTAGGCATTCTACTAGACATGACCAAGGCATGCGATAGGATGCAACACAACATACATACTTTTGAAAAAATTGTACGATATAGGAATCCGCCCTGCCCATAAATGGTTTTCATCTTATTTACGAGATAGAGAACAATTTGTAGAGATAGAACACATCGATAAAAAGTCCAAAAAATACACGCATGTATACTCCGACTGCAGGGTCATAAATGCACCAATACCCCATGGAAGTATTGCTGGGTGTTTATTGTTCTTACGACTTTCCTAAAATTATTAAGGCGCCATGTGTATTATTTGCAGATGATATATCCATACTAACTTCTAGCGAAGATAATACCGACATTAACAAAAAACTGGACGCGATCCTTGCTAAAACTACTGACTGGTTAAATGACCATAACCTTGGAATAAATATAGCGAAAACCAAAATAATGACCTTCCACCCGCTTCAAAAGAAAGAATTAAAATTAACAGTAAATTACAGTAAATACAAAACTTTAGATTGTGTTAATGGATTTTTCTTTATTCGGTATAGTCATAGACAAGCATATTAAAAGGAAAATAAAATCCAAGTTATCAAGTTTTTCTTAAGCACTTCGGGATTTAAAAAGACTACTAATGTGGAAACGGCAATTGTAACTTAATTCTTGGCTGAACTATGGTATCATATTTGACGACCTCCGTGGCCGAGTGGTTTGTACGCCAGGTTTCATGGTGTCGCCGACTCGAGAGGTCCCGGGTTCGAATCCCGGTGGGGGCAGACGTTTGTATGATGAATACGAGCATTTGTACTCCAGTCATGGATGTTTAATATATATTTCTATATGAATATACTTATTTATGTACAGTATATGGTATTCTTTCCGTTACCCTAGCATCCCATAACACAAGCCTTATAGTGCTTACTTTAGGGCTAGGCTAATTGGTGTGAGTGTTCGAAATATTTATTTATTTATTTATCTTGTGGGGAAATAGCACAGACGTACCCACTTTTACATTGCAGAAAAAACTAATCCATATTATTGCAAATATAGATAATACCGAAAGCCGTTCTTTCAAAAGTATAAGATAATTCCCCTGCCTTGTTTATACACAGGTACTAGAGATATGCATTTATAAAAAAAATTAGCCAATTATAAACTAAACGAGAGAATTTACATATGAAGTGTTACTATTGCTTGCGATACTGCAAAAGAGAGCTGTTCGCGCCATATATAATTTAAAGGCAAGAGAATCTCTTAGAGAAAAATTTAAAGAAATTAATATTTTAACACTGGCATCGCAATACATCTATGAAAATATAATATATGTAAGAAGAAACTATGACGCATTTGCAAAAAAAGTCAAACCCATAACTTAAACACGAGATTTAAGAACAAGCTTGCCGTTCCATGTTTCAGACTCCAAAAATCTAGAGGTTCATTTCTGGGATGTAGTATTGCATTGTTTAACAAAGTTCCCCAAGATCTGATTGAGCTTCCACTAACCAAATTTAAATCTCAGATTAAGAATACTCTTATGAATAAGGGCTATTATAAAGTTAATGATTATCTAAATGATCGTAATGCATGGACATAGTGTTTCTTGTAATTTCTTATTTGATGGGTATGAGTCAGTTTTGTAACAGTAGTATGGTACCTATCTAATGCCGCTTCCTATATATACTAAATATAAAATTTGTTGTAACTATATATCTATACCCTAAATAATGTAATGGAAGGTGACTTCAGAAGTATGTCTGAAGTCATTTTTCAACTTGACGACTCTGTATATATCAATACAGGGAGAAAAAAGCAGCCCTTGCTGAGTTTCTTGCCGGTTCTTCTCAGTACAAGGTCTCCCGCCGTAGTTTTGCGAACCGATGGCGTAGCTTCTTGACTTTCAGAAGTGCTTGTAACAGCCTAGACTGAATAAATGACTTTTCATTTCATTTCATTTCATTTCGATATAAAAACAAATTAGTACTGCCAACTTCACGCCTCAAGCTAACATTAACGAGTACCTTTAACTTTTCTATAATCATAGTAGCTGACCCAGTGAACTTCATTCCGCCATAAAAATAGGGCAGGTGGTAGAAGAGAAAATTTAGGGTTGTATGTATTTTTAATACCACATTTTAAAAAAAAAAATTGTGCAAAAAAAAATTTAGGGGTGTGTAACGTAGTGTTCTATCAATTTCCTGGGATAAAATTCCTCCTAACCCATATGAGAACACTACGTTACAATACACAATAGTTTGAATTTTGGCGCGAAGGCGCATTGTAGGTTTCAGAACACTACGTTACCGGTGGACAACCATTATCACTTAAGGATATGAAAAATGGATAGTAGCCGATTCTCAGACCCACGGAATATGCATATAAAATTTCATAAAAATCGATCAGGCCGTTTCGGAGGAGTATGGTAACTAACATTGTGACACGAGAATCTCTTATCTATTAGACAAGTCCGTCCGTCCGTGGTGCTGTTTCAGCGGCCAAACCGTAAGAGGTAGATAAAGAGAATATTTAAGTTATAAGTTAAGGATAGTCTGATAAGACTACAAACCGGATTTGAGTAACGTAGCACTTCCGGTTTTCGAGAAATCAGGTTTTGGTGAACATTTGGTTCACTGGTTTGCTAGTTTTATATATAAGATAAAACCATTTACCAGAGACATTAAGAAACGAAACTAATGACATTGTATTTATAAAAAAAAAACTGTTATTCATTGAGAAGTGTTACTATAGTATTACTGATTATTTGAATGACAATCTTAAGTAAATAGCGACTATCATGTACAAAATGGTAATAAAATTATACACATAAATGACATTTGTTTATATACATGTAATGAAATTTTCACTTATATAATATAAAAATTAACTCTAGTGTCATTCAGTACCTAACTCTTTCAATCTATAAACTAACATAGAAAGGAGAATGCCCAATCATGGGTCCCTTTTGAGGTATCTTGTGCCTCATTCAAATATGTACCTAAAAATCGAATTTATATTTTTATGCTGGTGACATTTATATCGTAATTTTTTTCACCCTGGGTATTAAGTTATAATTAATTAGATATTTGCCCAATTTTTTTTTTTAGTAAACTTTTCTTTACACTTAAACATCTAGCAGTTAAATGCTTAAAAAATAGAAACATAACAATTATTTTCAAATTCAATTAAATAATTCCGAAAGCCAATGGCAGGTATAACTTAAGCGTAGACAATCTGGGGTCCTTTAAGAGAGGTGTGAAGAAGCATTTGTGCAGGCCGGCAAGGTGAGTGTGGCAGTTTATAACTGCTGTACCAGCTACCTTCGCATTTGGACTTAATCACCACTTAATATCAGGTGAGGTAGAGTCATTTGCCTTCCTGGATATAAAAAATAAAATAAAAATAACAAATGGTCAGTTAGAAATTTGAGTAAGCAAAATGTTGAAATTGTAAGGAAAAGGAAATGATTTTCCCTATGCCATACATTGAATGGGGAAAACCAATACAAAACTATTGTTGAATGCAAAAATTTAGAGTAAGGACCTACACTCCTTAAAATGTTTTAACCTCAACAGGAAAAATAGTAATAATAAATAGATATTTCCAACATTCACACCAATTAGCTTAGCCCCAAAGTTAGCACTGTAAGGCTTGTGTTATGATGCGATACTAGGGTAACGGATAGAATACATATA